GTTGTATGGGCTGGCACTTTGTCATTTATTTGTCCGTACAGGATGGGAGTATCGGCAACAGTACATGGGCATTGGCTGCTGGAAACGTATTTGATAAAACTTGACTGAGGCGCTTTATAATGAGAACGCTTGGCGCGTCCCCTCGAAATGTGACCTTTAGGAAAATTCGCTCCCTCTCCGCTGTTAACATCGATGGCTTTGGCGGTCCTTTAGCCATGTTCTTAGCAATGAATTTACTAGAAAACACATTTGGTCGAAAAATGCCTTCTACAATGTTGAAATCTTCTTGCATGCGTCCGGTCGAGCAGATCCTTTACACCTTTTATGTCAAACGTCGTACTAAATTACGTTTGAAGTTTAATGGTACAAAACTAGCAAAAAGGGTATATTGCCTGGACCATGTATTTTTCCGATAGACCATACGCTGAATACCTCCGTCCTACTCTTTACTCAAAAGCAAATCGAGAAAGGGGAGCGATGGCGCATGGTTTATTTAGTTAATTCTTATGACGTCAATTTTGGATACATTATAGAGGTGCACTTATCACATTGGGCAGAAACAATGACTGAAACTCGCATATATTGATTGATATTAAATTGTAGTATACATCTGTGCAACAATAATGTTTTTTTAAAAATAATAATTTGCTTTTGTGCATTGTTACATTCCTATTAGTGTTCAAGTTGCTATATGACATAGAGTCCTAAACAAATTACATCCACTGTTGTAAATTCTGACGTTCTGGAAAACGTTTTCGTCCATATCAGGGAATTTTCGTCCATTTAATATAATTTTACGATGCTCCGAGACATTTCTGATTACGATGTTTTCCTTCAGCTCCTAGAATTTCGGCTTAAGTCCTATTCCATTCTTCGTACTACGCGCAATATCTCGCAAGCGCACGACAGCTCATGGACCGGAAACAATTCGGATTACAGATTCTGTCGACATTTTTCCGAAGTAACTGACGAAATCATCAGTCATATAGATGAACAAATTTCAAATATTGTGTCCCTGCTTGATCAAACCAATTACGCACTACGCACTCTGACCGATTGGAACCGCGATCTTAGAGCCAATTTTGCTTTGTCCAAAAATGAACAATCATCCCCATATCTCTCAAAGCAAGTTCCATCTTACTGTTTTTGAAATTTAATTCAAGCCCTGAACAAGTGCGAAGTAACGCCGCTTTTCTGTAGATTGAAAATTATGAAATAAACGGGACTTACAATAGACTACTATAAAACTAAGAATCCTTTATCTCTGCAAAAGTCTGCAAGTTAAGGTATCAGTTAAGAAAAATAAAGCAGAATTTAAAGAGCTTTATACGTATTATTCCCAATCTTTCTGAATGTCACAAAAGTGTGTTGTGTAAAACCAAGCAGTGATAGTTTGGGGAATAAAATATTGTCAATATATAAGGCAAAACTTTAAATGCAACAGTTACTGACTGTAAGATTAAAGCTCTTTTCTGGCTGACCATCTGGACCTTTTATTGGTACTTTATTTCGCCTTTAGTCTAAACTGGAGTTTTTGAGCTATAAATACCTTTAACAATAGGTGTATTGCTTACTAGGTAATATTTTGCATATGAATTAAAATACTACTTCATGTTTTGACACTATTATAATTCGCCATCACTATCAGGCGAAACTCGGCCCTTATACTTTAAAAAACTTTTTGTTGTGGAAAATACGTTTGCGCTAATAACGGACTTCTTATTCAGTATACACATTATGCGACTAACACTTTGACAAATGCAACTAATATAAATTCGCATAAAAATACATACTGGGCAAAGAGCTCTGCAAAATCACTTTTCTTCTCCATACGCTCTTAGAATATTTTACACGGAAAGGCTTGCTTTACTTAGCTTTACTAATAAGCAATAGTTGTATGAACTAAGCGTTTCGAAAACGCGATCGAAATCTGCTATAGCTTTAAGCAGTTAGCACCGAATACTTATCATTTATTTAATGTTCTATTAACAATTATACCCTTCGAGAATGAATCAGAGTTGTGTTATAATTGTCTTGAATAAGCGCAAACTGTTGTTTCTATGTTGGTAGTTTTTTGCATTATTTTACTGCGGATTTTAGCGGTATCATTAGGAATCTGTGGTCGCATACGATTAAAACAGATATACAGGCACTTTATGAGGTCCACAGAACATTTAATGTATTGAACTATCGGCATCACAGGGGATCTATTATATTAACAATGAAGCCTTCTAGGAAAGAATAATGTTTATTGCGTGAATTTTCGAGACTGATTTCCGAACTCCTCGTCGTATAATTACATGCGGATGACAGCTATTCTTCTCACTGACCGCGGGTGTGGATTATTTTCTAACACTCTAATCCACTGCAGAATCTTGTGTTAGTCATCGTTTTTAAGTTTATTGGTTTCACACAAATCTCGTTTGCCTGATGACAAGCTGGGGAACCAGACTCGACAATGCACGCAATAAACTGTACTTTTTCCTTAAGGACTTTATTGTTAATAAAATGGATTTTTTGGAATGCCGCGATTTCAATATATTTAATTTTCTGTAGATCTCATAAAGTGCCTATCTATCTTATTTAATTGTATGCGACCACAGATTCTTAATGTTATCGCTTAAAATCTTTGTAAGATATGTTTAACTTGTTTAATTACAACTTACAAGACTATGACCAATTTTTTAAGTGCCAAAGCGCTTAAAAAACCGTGAATATTTTCCATTAGATGTCCAAAAACTTTATAAAGCTTCCAATGACACGGCCGTCTTGAGTCCAGTGCACTTTACGTCAAACACTCCATCGAAGCATTCGTTCTAGATTCGAACGCCGAGCTGTTTGGATTGTTGTACATTACTCCTTTTTTAATCGCTGTATTTAAATCGCTATTGTCTGAACGCAAATCAGGAAACCAAAACTATAAAAAGCAGTAGACTGTTTGCTAATGATATAGATAACGTAGCGTGTTTCACTGTAGAAATACTACAGTGAAGAGATATCGAACTGAGAAGAAAAAGACTCGATCGCTGGGACAATACGTTTATTCGGCTGACGTTTCCATATTCGTCGCGGATACATCATCAGAGAAATGAGTAGGAAACAATAGCACATATCCCATTCCTTAACAATTCCAATTTTTTAAATTAGTGGTATATCCTTGAATTAGGAGACGAATAATGTTTTCTTGCAAACGTCGTCATTTGAGTCGGAATGTATTAATTTCAGATGATTTCTTTCAGAGACGAAGATTATTTTATTTTGTTTCTTTTAGGTTTGTTACGGCAACATTTACCTTCGTGTCTCGGGGCAGATTCCAAGTTAAACAACGGCAGATCGTGCCTGCAGTGTATGATGAGGGCAAGTCCTAGAAAGTATACAATTATCCTTCCCGGTTTACACAAGGAAACCGGTTTTCTATACTTTACGAAGACCATATTTTTAATCTTAGACTGGTTGTGGGTTTTCATCTATGCTGTTAACGTAAACAGTAATCGATCTTAAGGAACATTTCCCTAGATTCGATTTGACAATCCATTTATTGTAACTTCCTTTTGAAAAGAAGATTAATATTTAAGTTCATTAAATCCATCATCGTAGTCATATTAGTAGATTATTAGCTATGAAACTTTACACGTGATGAACGCAACTATAATGATCCGTTTCCTAACAGTATTGCACCTTAAACTTCCTTGGCAGCATGTGTTCTATGCACGCCTGTTGCATAATTTTATTTTAAAATGGTATGTAATCCACACTTTCCGCACTTTCCTCACCTGATTTTAGCATGAGATCTACTGAGTATTCCGACGTTGATATTTTTAATGAAAGCAGACATCCTAAGTTTCCAACAGCTGTGAATGGTCTCTAATTTAAAGGTCCATGCAAAGCTGGGTGTTTCGGAGCAGAGTTCAAAATTTGGTAATAATTGTTTAGCGGATAAATTATGGGTTCTTTCTAAACTATGAACTGAAGTTTTTTCTTCTAGTACTTTGAGTGAAGTTTACCAATGATTATTTAAAGGGAAAGATGCATGTTTATCTAATGTTTTTTAGACTGGCCAAGCCAGTTTGAAGACATGTTATGAGTATTCTGTGAATATTGCTTACGTTTTCAATTACTTTTCAGGGCATTTGAACTATCTTGTCCATACCTTTTTGTTGTACACTTTTGCTGTTTCGTTTTTCACTTTATGACCTTGTGCCTTTAAATGTTTCTGAACTAGTGACAAAAATGCTTTTTAGGTATTGGTACGGTGGAGCCCTTAAAGTTTTCTTGCTGAGGGAAAACGCGATAATGCCATAAAGCTAACTTCACAGGATGTAAGCTTTGTTTAAATTGTGAAGACTGGTTTAAACACGTAATCCAAAGCGAATAATTAACCCAGTCTGAATATATAAATTAATGCAAGCCTCCATCTATTCAATGTGTTGATGGTCGGCTTGTACTCTACTCTTTTACAAAACAGAGGGCTTGCTGACGTCCATACTAAGTGGATTCAGTCTCTGGCTGACGCTGACAATTGTGCTGGAAATTCATCGCCACCGGTTGATCTACCAGAGAAAACAAAGCCAGCAAATGAATTATGACCCTGCGAACGAGGCCCCACACAGTGAAAAAAAGCGGCATCAATCATCCCAACGCAGAGTACAACCCCTGCCGCACACAACCGGGCAACTCGTCTGGCTGGACCATTTCAGCCATAATTTAAACTCAAATGCACCCACTGCCGCGACCGCCCTCTCCTCGGCTGGCGCCAACAGTACCATGGGTGGCAGTACGCAGTTGGGCTGCTCCAGTTCGCACAGCGAGGTTATAGGGGCACTCTGCAGACCGGGTGGCAGCAAGCGGCAGCAGGGGCTCTCCGAGGATTCCGAAAGGCAGATGGGCAAGTCAATTAAAACAATCTGTGGGATAAATAATTAGAGGGATATGATGGCGCAG